AAAATAGGATTTACGGATTAATCGAACGGTTCTTCTTTTTAATATTTTCAAACTATTTTTTAGTAATTCTAATCTTTTAGCATCATAAGTAGTTTTGGTAGAATTCAAATTAATCTCTAAAGTTATAACCCCCTCTTTTTTTTCTTCTGTCATTTTTTCTAGTTGTTTTAAGATTGTCTTTGTTTTAACATTAAGATCTTTTATCCTTTTTTCTGTGAAATTTGTCCAATTCATAGATTGAATTAGAACGGGCGATTCCTCAATCATTGGATTACTCTTACTGATTGTTGAATTTTTTTTGCTTTCACTCAATTCATCTCTTTTTTTGAACCTATTTTCGATTTCTTCTAACACGATTCGAGACCCCTTTTTTCTTTCATTAAAAACTTTTAGAACTAGAAAAAAACGATTTTTCAAATCTTTTTTCAATTGTTTTTTTATTTTTTTTAAAATGGGACCCAAAAATAAAAAAGGGTTTGGGACATGATCATCAAGGTACGATTCGACTTGTGTTCCATAACCTGTTAAAAACCATAAGTTTTTTTCTTTCAGTGGATCTTTTTTTTTTTCAGTAGATTTTTTTTTTTTTTCAGTAGATCGTACCTTATTGTGCCACGGTTTCAGAACAAAAGGGAATAAGATCCTTATCTGAATACCCTCCCAGAACCAGTTTGTTGGCAACGCGGTGTGAGATACTGGAACGCCCTGATAGGTGCAGTAAATATGGACTTCTTTTCTCCAATCCCTCAAATCTTCTGACCATTCAGGATTTTGAAATAATAGTATACGAATGATATTTTTTGTGATTATCAATGAAGGTAATAGAATATATTTTCTAAATATTGATTGGAATAGTAATACAAAACTTCTGATTATTAGACCATAGAGAATGCTCTCCCAGGCTTCTTCGATTTGTCTAAGTCTTATTTCAGACTCGTCTTTGTTTTCCTCTATCTCTTTCTGTTCTATCGTTTTCTCAAACGCCAAAAATTCCGAATTATCAGTACCCGGTTTCCTGAAATATTCTTTCAAATATTGGGAGATATCATAGACAAGATCACCAAACAAGAACGCGTAGTCGCCCATTATCTCCAAAAAAAGAGGGGAGTGTGCAGTTCCTTGAAAGAGTTTATAAGTTACTGTTTTACGCCTTTGAGGGCGCATAGATCCTCTGATTAGGTCTCGGCAATAATCTGGTTCGCGTGAATAATGAACTACAGCAAATTCAGTATTTCTGTCCGGTTCAGCACTATTCTGATTGTCATTAGAATCTGTTTTACTATTAAAAAGAACTATACGGTCAGCTTTTGGGGAACGAATCTGAGACTCCTTTGGACTCGCGTCCATCAATACCGCCAATTCGTCGACTAAGTCGTATGACCATCGAGGAACTTCTTTACTTATTTCGTTTATTTCACTACATAGTTTTCTATTAAAAATTGTATTATTAGTAGGATCAGTTCGAATTGCGTCCAATAATAATTTTCTTTTTGTTTTTTTTTCTTCGGAATATATTTTTACTTGTTCATGTTCTGGAAATAAATAAAGTCCGTCAAAATTCAAACTTGATACTGATTTTTCCGAAAATTTACTGATTAAGTTAAAAAAAAAACCAATTTCATTTAATAATAATTTTCTATCAAATTGATCTATTTTCTGTTCAAATTCTGGATCATTACTATTAATAGAAAGAAGGAGACCATGAATCTTATTTATCAAAATGTAGTTTGTTGTGTCAGTTTCATTTGGAATGAAGGGTGAAAAGCCTTTTTGGATTTCTCCACGAACGCGTCCATTCAAGAAAGGATCATATATTTTAGTTAAGTATTTTGTTTTCCTATTATCATCAGACAATCTAATTCGATTTTCAAATACATCCACAGGACTAAATTTAATAGATTTATTATCTATCATTTTTGCCCTTTGAAAAAATTCATTGATTAGTTTATTTCCTTTTTCTTTATTAACAGAGCTCCAATAATTAGACAATTCATTATCATTATAGGAGGTTTTATCTCTTCTGAAGAGATCCATTTTTTTTTCCATGATTTTCAGAAAAGTAGATAAATGAGGTGGATACGTGAAAGATATTCGTTTTTTTCCATCACTTTGACATACCTGAAAAAAAAATTGTGAATTTTCATCTCTTACAACCCTTTCAAAGTGATCATTTTTTATATATCGCAAAGGCCTATTCCATTTTCGATAATCGAAAAGAGTAGTTACAAGAGATTTTTCCAACGGGGCGAGTTTTTTGTTGAAAGTATTCTCTTTTTTATCAGAAAGATAAACAGTAATATCTTCTTCTTCTTCGTTAGTTTCTTCCTTTTCCCAATCTATTGCAGCTTTGACTTCCTCCAGGTCCCTGTCATCGTATCGCATCATTTCCTCAATATAATAATATGGGAGCGGTGTTCTGCCTAAATAGTGTGCAAAGCTAACAAATGAAAAAACAACAAATATTTGCCCCACATAATTTCGCAATTGTAGGAGAATGTATTTATCAAATTTCATAGTTATCTTATATTTGATCGACTTTTTGTGCTGTAACCAGACTAATACCAATCCAATACATTTCATTAAAAAGATGTGACCTATTAACCACCCAACAAAACTACTTGTTAAGAATAACAATTTATTGTTGGATCGAAACAGATAAATGTTCATTAATCTTATTAAGATTGAACTTGGCAAAAGAAAGGGGTTTAATAACTGAAAAAAAAGATTGTTAAAGAATACTTTAACAATCCTAAAATGACGTATTGAATTTGGATTCTTGTATTCAGAATCCAGTTTGGATCCCGAACCCAAATAGTAGTGTTTGTCATTTTTGTGGACAAAATTAAAGAAAAGATACGGTAGAGTTAAGACTGTTATTGTATGAGGTCTACTCAATGCCAAATGCAAAGGCGCATAATAGATCGATATAAACATCATGAGCTGTCCCGTAATAAACCCGGTTGTTGCTGATATTTTCGTTTCAGATCCCTTTCCTAAGATTTGCCCTCGAAGAAGGAAGAGATAAGACGGTCCTATGGAGAATGTAGTCAGAAATCCATAATAGAATCCGATCACAACGGCTGAATTCAGTATTTTAACGCAGAAACCAACGAGATAATTTCCCCAAACTAAGCTATAAATCATAATACCTCTATGAGTGTTCGATTTGTTTTTCTTTGATATACTTTGTTTTGTTTTTCTATGTTATTTATTATATCTTCTATGTTAATGTTATTGATTATATTTTCTATGTTATTTATTATATCTTCTATGTTAATGTTATTGATTATATTTTCTATGTTATTTATTATATCTTCTATGTTAATGTTATTGATTATATTTTCTATGTTATTTATTATATCTTCTATGTTAATGTTATTGATTATATTTTCTATGTTATTTATTATATCTTCTATGTTAATGTTATTGATTATATTAAAATCAATTCTTCTGATCTAAAGAACAAAAGAAACATCTTCTTCTTGTTAATTTGAAAATAATTAATGATATAAACTTCAATACTTCATCATTTCTAAATAAATAACTAATTTCTTTATTTATTCTTTTCTGTGTTCTTTTTTTTTCTTTGCTTCGTTCTTCTATGTTATTCTTTTCTGTGTTCTTTTTCTTTGTTCTTCTATGTTATTCTTTTCTGTGTTAGTATCTGATATTTCCTATGTTTGTTAAGCATATAATATAAATATGTTAAGCATATAATATAAATATGTTAAGCATATAAGTTTGTTAAGGATATTCTTTTCTGTGTTAGTATCTGATATTTCCTATGTTTGTTAAGCATATAATATAAATATGTTAAGCATATAAGTTTGTTAAGGATATTCTATGTTTTATTATGTGATATTATTCTTTCTATGTCTTAGTATAATATATTATTAGATATCTTATTATATGATAATATAGATGGGATAGAATTTGCCGTTGTTCCTCAGTAGCTCAGTGGTAGAGCGGTCGGCTGTTAACCGATTGGTCGTAGGTTCAAATCCTACTTGGGGAGATTTTCTTCATTTCGAATTCAATAATTTGGAATCAAAAGAAAGTGTAAAGTTTGTTTCTATTCCATTCTATCTCATCGTATACTATTCTGTTCTGCTATATTGGGGACTCCCGGTCAATACAATACCTATGTGTAGATTAGGGATATTCCTTTGTTCGATAGTCTCGGGCTATCCTATTAAATATAAGATATTTTCATATCTTTAAGAAAGAAAAAATGTAAGACTATTTGATTTCAACCTCAATCATAGTTTCTTTTCTTATCCCCAAGGTCCTTCCCCTTTTAGCCGCTTGTGGGCGAGGAGGGATTCGAACCCCCGACACCGTGGTTCGTAGCCACGTACTCTAATCCTCTGAGCTACAGGCCCCACCCTGTCTCCAC